TTATAAACGGGGTCGATACATTTAGTTACATATTTACAGGAAGTAGACAATTGAATCTAAAACGGGTTCTTGACATTTGTTACATTTCATATATATATGTACTTACTAGAGATAAGCAATTTGCTTAAAGTGCAAATTTAGTCTACCTGCCAACTATTAATTGCGATTTAATTAAATCGATCGATTAACAAGTCGACATAATAACAGAAACGTGAGATGTTTTTATTAAAACACAATAAATAATGTAGCGAGTGGAAGGCACTGTACACGTGTTTGTTCAATGCAACAGAAAAAATATATATTACGTACATTTATACATAATATGTATACATGCAAGTGTAAGGTACATAACGTATCAAAAAACAAACCATATACATATATAAAACTTATATAAGAACAGTTTAAGTTCTTAATCAGTAATTTATCGATTTCGACCTTATTTGCTCTCATTAGCACGCCAGAGGTTGTATCGATTAATTACCGACCTGTCTGTATAATATGCACTTCGCAATAATTAATAATTATATGTCTAAATCTTTTATTACTTCCTTCAAAACAAATTCGGCTAATGATAGAAATTTCAATTTTATCGACAGTCTTCCAATGATATGGAACCGTTTTCGGAATGATTTTTTTTATTCATAAAAGGTTAATCTTGATGCTATTTATATGTAGCATGTATTGGATATGGAGACTGCTATATGTTAGTATTTTTCTAAATAGAAATTTCAAAAAGAAACTAACATAACTTAGTAGGTTAGGTTGGGTTGAATGCCATAGTGTATGTGACATGAAGCGAAGTTCGGTTTAAGTCGAATAAATATCGTGATAATTACATTTATATGTATGCATTTCATAATAAGAATTGCAATTTAATTTCTGAAAAACTTTTATTGAAATGAAATAGGAGACGAACACGTGTCACCCTTTCCTAGTCTTTAATATTTTAGTTCCTATCAAAAAACAAATTTGTTTTATAAAGTAAAAAAGACAAGCATCCACAGGGTGTATCAAATAAGCAGTAAACGAGTTTTCTCTTATAGTAAAAAGTAGAATAAAACATAATCAATTTTAACAATTAGTAAGATACACCTTATAGAATTATATAAAACGAGCACCTTTGGTATAATCATAAACTAGATGGCAAAATAAAATGTTATGTACAACGTGTTTTGTGTAAGGCAGTGGTTTTTAACCTGTTGTAGGTACCCCCACCCTTAGGGAGCGCGGGACTATTGTAACAAACTCTTAACAAAATGTATTCGAATACTTACAAACAAAAAAAAAAGAAGTCAAATCGGCATCGGCAAGATAATCACTCAGGCTATTTTGGCGAATACATATTTGTGAAATTAGATTGTTACAAAAATTGAGGGTGGAAGGGGGGCGCAATAATGTTTTTGTACAAAGGATGAAGGCAGAGGAACAATAAAGTTAAAAACCACTGGTGTAAAGTCTGTCAGTATTTCAGATTTTATATATATTTGCAGGTGTGGACAAACAGGACACAGCTTCAACCCTGTTCTTAAAAATATTTTTTAATAATTCCTGTTGTTTGATTGTTTATCCATACTTGCAAAACGTTCCTTCATTAAAATTAGAAATGAGATTGGTAACATTCTGTCTTTCTTTTCTTGCGATTGTTTAAGTCCAAATTACAAACATAACGCAGATAGACTTTATTATTTCGAATAATGTATAACTATACTTTTAAATTCTTCGGTTATTAATAATTAAAAACAATAATAATGATAATAGTAATTAATAAAATTAGCCCTATGCGCGGCATCACAGATATATATATATGTATAACATAATTCGATTCATGGATATAGAGCCTACAAATGTAAAGATTGCACGTTTCCTTAACAGTATTAGAAGTTATAAAGCGTACGGAAAAAATCCATTCTCTAAACGTCTTTCTACTTTCTTTCTCTTTTTATCATTTTTTTACAGTAAAAGCGTTTCAAAATTTCACTATACAATATATGTTTACAGTGTATCCTTCCATTAACGGGCACCATAATGGTTTCATCCTACTCCAGACCCTTGCTAAAAATGTTGAAGTGTAATCTACGTATGATCTAAGGTTTCGATAGGAAAAAGCAACACGAATAAAGTAAGGGTTCTCCAGCTAGAACGTCATACGTAGTAAAGGGACGTTATAATTCAGGGAATTATCGTATTCCTTAAATCGTATCATCCTTTTATAAGGGAATGAATGTCTTAAGGTCTGCGCCCGGTTAAAGGGGAGTATACGGGGTGTCCGTCTACAGAAAGTACACTGTGTATATATGTTACAGTGATTCATCAAGCAGTCAACGAATAATGTGATAAGCTAACAATGTGTTATTGATATGACCTTCGAGCTTACCAAACTTGGGAAAATTCGACTTTTTACTGTTATCGGAAGTATGTATTTAAGCAACTCAAATGTACCTATTTTGACTGCCCTCCCAATCAAATAATTTCTTGCAAATAAATTAGGTCAGCTTTGGTCATCGCTTTTTTGAAGATTTTAACACTAGATTTGTAGTGGATTTTTTTAAGATATATTTTAAAGAAAAATAGCATTTTTTCTGTTATTTCTCACTTAAAAATTGTTAAATGGAAAATGTTTGGGAGATTTTCTAATGAATTATAATAGCAAAACAATTTTCACAATTGTCATGTTGTTATACGAAGTATTTTAGTATGTGTTTTAGCTTTATAATGGAATATTTAAGATCTCTTGTAAAGAAAAATTATAATTTTTTCTGTTATTTCTCAAGAAAGATATTGTACCACAACTTCAAAAAAAAAACTATTTATTAGTGGTCAAAATTTTATCGATCAAATGTTAGAAAATTAGATCTTTTTATTTTCCATGTGGTCATAATCTGAACAACTTTTTTTTGCAAAAATTTCAAAAAATCGGAATGCTGAAAATCGGAAAGCAATGGCAAATCTCTAGCGGACATGCTAACGCAATTTTCGGATGGATAAACAGTATTTTGCATTCAATTCACAACTTCCATTCGGTTTAGCCTAATGCATATGCATAAGTTGCTATCTCGAGTGCTTTAATTCATTTATCGGTACATTGCACTGATGCTATCATTTTACGGGATAGTTTCTTTAATATCAGACTTCTTAGCTTGTTTTAACGACTTTTAAAAGTTTTTTTTTTGGAACACATTGCATCGACGATAATTACGACGACTTATTATATATGCACATACATATGTAAATAAATTGGTCCGTGACCTTCGTAGCAATTAAAGCCTTTTTGGACACAAGCAATATACTAGAATTACATCTACTTAATTGTTCTGAATCGGCTATGCAAATTGAAACCAAATAAACCAAACGACCACTAATACAACAGTACAGTAGGTTGCATTCAGTTGTTAGAGTAAATATTTGTTTTTATGTTTAATACTGAAGTTTAAAACATCGTAGAGGTCAAAAAATAGCAGAACAATTTCATAATACTTGCAATTAGTGAAGGGCAACATCGGTCTTGGTTTTGTACTATTATTAGGCTTATGCCGATGGATTTTAGTAAAGACCAAAGAACTAAAATCATATTTGGATAAAGGAGGTCGACACCATAGAAAAATTTTAGCAGAGAGATTTCTATGAAACATATAATATGATAAGATTTTTATATATTTAGGTAAAAAGTGTGCAAAAGTTTCAGGTCATAGGCAGGGTCAGATTTACCTAAAGGCATTTAGTGCTGGTGTGCAGGGCCCCCACAAAATTTCGTTTCACTTAGCCTAATTGGGCCTAGTTAGAGAATCCTCCCACCATCCTACCCCCATCTTTGCATGAGAGTACTCCCATCTAACCTCATCTTATCTCCTGATATTCTTATCTCATTTTCTGTCTTAAACTCATTAATTACCCATTTTTTTTTATCTAATATAATTAATGTCCTAACAGTCATCAAAGCAAAAAAGACACCAAAAACAAGAATCCTTAGACATGTCTTAGAATAAAACAAAAGCAAGACCTCTTTTGCTAATCACTAATATTACTTTGGTAGATAATTGTTAAATCAACTTTTTAAGTTGGGAGCATTGGCAGTCTAAGTCATATTATTTCGTTTTCTTTCGAGCTTTATATTTTTAATTTTCAATAATTTTGTTTGCAAAATACGAAGTTATTCAATGTAATGGTCGATATACATGCATTATAATAATAATTTAAAAAAGGTTTCGTTAGAGAGGCAGTCTATTTTTGCTGTTAAATTTCCCATAAGTAAATAAGGAATTTATTTTTCGAGATGAAATTAATAAAGGCTAGTCCCCGAGTAGTATTTCAATGGAACGTTTCTCGATTCCGTGGCTAGTTTTTCCGCTAGAGTACGTCAAAGTTGACCGATATTGAAAATATTTTCTTCAAATTTATAAGTATAAGACTCAATTATGACTACTTCGAGCATACTAATATTGGTATAATTTCAATATTTCTCACCAAAAAACGCGAATTTTTTCGACATTTAATCACAATAAAATAATTCGAAATGGTCAGTATTCTGTCGAAACTGCCAGACGCGGATCGCGATTTCGATCTTTTTGGATCTCATCAGGGCGTCGCACGCAGCTCCGACAGAACACAGACCAACTTTTACCTGCTGTCTCAACAGTGCGTTTAAGAAAATACTACAAATGGCGCAGTAAACGCCATCTGTAGCACGATGCTACATTTTAGGATTACGTATGCTCCAACAAGGTCCACTTGTGTGGATATCTACTTGCTGGAAAGACAGCAGGTAAAAGTTGGTCTGTGTTCTGTCGGAGCTGCCTACGACGCGCTGATGAGATCCAAAAAGATCGAAATCGCGATCCGCGTCTGGCAGTTTCGACAGAATACAGACCATTTCGAATTATTTTATTCGATTAAGCTAACGTGCCTATCACGTTGAGGTTGGCTACGCCGGGATTCGTTTTCAGCAAGTAGATATCCACACAAGTGGACCTTGTTGGAGCATACGTAATCCTAAAATGTAGCATCGTGCTACAGATGGCGTTTACTGCGCCATTTGTAGTATTTTCTAAATTTAATCACAACTTTTTTATTTCAAGTGCTATAAGAAAAATGCGTTCATATTCTCTTAAGCATCCTAAAATTTATCGAGAATCGAACTTCTTAATTATGAAAATTGATTAATAATTAACCAATTAGCCAAATCAACATTGGTCAACTTCTGCCTCCTGGCATAAAAACCAACTATGGAATTGAATAACGTACTACTGGACACCCTCCATTCATTTCTGTAACAATCTCAGACGGTTCATTTCGAAGGACACATCTCTTTTATCCTTTTTTTTTCTTTGCGAACCTGCTAAATTTAAAATTAAATTCAGATTCAATAGGTACCTTAATTGCTTAGAGAAATTAGCTTATCTACTTTTCTTTTTGTTCATCTTCGTCAGCTTTCTCCTCTTTAAAATCATTTCGTAGAGCGCTTCTATACCTTCTTGCAGTCCTTCTCCGGTGATCGCACAGGCGGGTTGTACATGCCACAGGTGTCCTCCGGGAGTACTCGAACCGGCCAATTCGGTTAGGCCCATTAACTTTTCCAATTCCCGTGGTTCTTTCGCACCGGGAAGGTCTTGTTTATTAGCCAACACTAGAATTGGTACACACACGTTTTCTGGCGATTTCACAGTTCGAATGAGTTCCATTTTGGCCTCTTCCATCCGTTCCACATCAACACTATCCAACACAAACACTATCCCGTCAGTACATCTTGTATACGACTTCCAGAGAGGTCGCAGTTTTTCCTGTCCCCCCACGTCCCAAACGAGAAAGTTTACCCCTTTTGCCCTGCCGGTCATTCCTTTGACCTTTTCGCAGTTGAAGCCGATGGTCGGTACTGTGTTCAGGTACTGGTCGAATTTAAGTCGATAGAGGGCGGTAGTTTTGCCTGCTGAATCCAAACCCAGCATCACCACGTGGAGAGTGCCTTGACCTGATGGAAGGGCATCCAGAAGGGACGAGTTCTTGCCCATGTTGGCACCCATTGGGTCGGCTGGTGAATTATGTCGTGCCTGCCTTCTGTTCGTTTTCATCTCTCCGTCTACATTTTTTGAAATGTTTTGAAACGTTGGAAAGTGTCGTCATTCTTTTTTTTTCTGTTATTTAATTATTTTAATGGCTCCAAGTCAATGTCTGTAACAGAAAAGAGAAATGCACATTAGCTATATGAAGGTTCACAAGTATTTCTGGAGTAACTTTTAACTCCCTAAACAGATTCGAGAAAAATAAGTTTCGGTCTGTTTTGTACAGTATGACTGCATAATGGTTACGGTCATGACTGTGACGAAATATGGTTTTAAGGTTATACGTTGACCTTTCGGCACGCATGAGCGCACAAGGCAATTAATATCTGATCCTAAAACCCGGCAACACAATTAAACTTTTATTTCATTACAGATTTATAGTGTAATATCCCTGGACTAGAAAATAAATGAAAATTTGTTACACTATTGATTTCATTTCTGTTCTAGTACTACAGTAGATACCCGTGTATGTATGTGTGTGTGTCTGTTAAAGGTACTACATGTACATTTAAATAAAAAGCAACTAAAAGTTTATGTTTTTCTCATTTTTATGTAATGTGGAGTAATGAGTATTGATGTTTTAGAGAAACAAATTATGTTCTTTAAAAAATTGTAATAGTTGCGAAAAATTAGGACACGTACCAATGAATTTGAGCCAATTTATTATTTATCAGAATGTTTTAGTTTTTATTGTGTTCTGCAACAGTTCAGTAAACAATAAAAATAAGGAAAGTTTGGACTATAAAATCTATTCAATTACTGAAGCGAATTTGTATATGTTAACGTGCTGAAATTTTATTACAGGATAACAATTATAAACACTTATAACATGTTTATGAGTTGCGGGCTTTTTTGGGTAGTCATTAAAATTTTATAATAACATTTTCTAAATCCTGACGTTGTTTTAATAGAAATCGTAATAAAAAGAAAATAATGACTTATGTATTTTTTATATTTTAAAATAATAAGTGTAAGGTACATAAC